TTTCTAGTGATTCTCTTGTCAACAAACTAGACTTTGCCAAAGGTCTACACTAGAGATGTAATCTCTTTTACAACATTTCAGAAATTCCTTGAGGGAAATTAAACCTACAAAAACCTGAATATGGAACACAGTTCTTAGAAATACAAGATAAAATTACAGTACCTATGCAAAAAAAAATTATTTTAATCCTACACACTCATAGCAAGATGCATAACTAAACTTTCAAACAGATTCTTCATTGTGACTTCACCTTGATACTGAGTAGAAATCAATCACATATAATTAAGCTGGAGTTTTCACTATAGCTATAAATAAGTGGTGTGCAATGCAAGCACAAGTGAAATTCAGAAGTTTCACCATATACATTTCCTTACTTAGCTCAAACAGAATGTCTCACTAGTAAAATTTTATGCTTGACAACACTTTCGGCGAAACAGTTTTTCCTAATATACAATCTAAACCTCCCATGGCACAACTTTGGAGCTATTTCCTCTTCTCCTATCACTTGCAACTTGTGAGAAGAGACAGACCTCCACCTCACTACAACCCCCTTTCAGGTAGTTGTAGAGAGCAGAAACATTTCCCCTGAGCCTTCTTTTCTCCAGGCTAAGCAACCTCAGCTCCCTCAGCTGCTCCTGATAAGACCCTTCCCCAGCTCTGCTGCCATTTGGACACGCAGTGTCCAGTAGCAGTTTAAAAGTCCATTTGCAAAAACTGTACTAGAGGAGTTTAAGTTTACTTTAAGACCACTACAGAAACCTGGGTGTTAGCTTTGATGTCTCTGTTGAGGAATTCAGGTGATGTCATAAGGTATTCCTTTAGAGCAAAGCATTCAGTTTATGTAACATACTGCTATAGACCTGTAGGGTCATTTGAATTATATTGGAGCCTCTTGGCATGCAGCAAAGGGACATTTAAACACAGGAATCTCCATTTTCACATTCACATAGCACTCTAATATGAACCAACCTGCAGATCAGCAGGGAATCCTTAACCCCAGTAAATATGTTTATTTTAAACAGATATTACTAAGTAAGATATTTCAACTAAAAAATGTATTAATTCTTAATAGAAAAAATAAGGATGCTTATTCAAGGAAGTGGCAGAGATTGATTTGTGAAATAATTTTCTTAAGTAATGTGATTCTCTATACATACAGAGACATATGGTCACGAAATACCTTATCATTATTTCAATTAGCACAGCACATTCTTATCTGGGACACTGTGACAGGATGTTCCACTAAAACATGCAAAGCTCTTCCTTTTTGCACTGGAAAGTCTATTCAGTTCTTCTTCACATCAATTTAAATTATTTTCTCTATAGTAAGGAAATGAGGTAGGCCTTAATCCATTAAATCAGTAATTAATACTTCACTATTAAAATAACTTTAATCTACTATATTCCATTAGTTAATTATATTTTTCAGTATGTGTTTATTTAGCAGTATTAAATCTGTGATGACTTGATAAACAATATATTCTTGTTTTGCAGAAGAATACACATGCAGCTTTAAAATTACACACATACTGCAACATCACAAAATCTGCCATTTCCATATGAACTGTGGCCAAGAACTTCTAGTAAAGGATAAGAATAGTGACAGACAAAAATCTTGAACTTCAGGGGTTGCTCATTTGGCATTTATGAGGCTAATCTCTATATTTGGAAGCATCTGTTCATCCATTGACAAATAATAAACATAATTATTTGTATTGTACTCTCAGTCAGGAATGAAACTAGATAATCAGTAAATAGGTCATTTCTTGTATGGATTCTTCAAGATATTGTTCATATTTCGTGAAGACAGAAAGCAGAAGGAGCCTGACACTCTTCCCACACTTCATGATTAGCCTGGACTAATTTGCAGTGACATCCTTTGGTAAGTAGGAATACATACTTCTTTACCATTTAATATCTTAAAGTAAAAAAAAAAATGAACAATCCTATATGATTAAGATCTTTGTAATATTACTGCTGCAACAGCAGAACATTATAAATACAAATAAATACAAACTTCTAAAGTTTTTTCACATTCAATTCAGTGACAAATGTGTTTCCCATCCCACCTTAAATTCAAACCTGCAACGAATGAAGGTTTTATCTCTTATAACAGTTAAAACAGAAGTTCTGATCTGAAAGGACAAATGCCCCACAGATTAATCCACTCTGTATATTTGGTTCCAAAAGACTGATGTATCTGAGAAGACCTGTGTGTAGCTAATGTACTTCAGATATGTTTTACCATGTAAGCAGTAGCATTGGACTATGGGTAAAAAAATATAATATGCTATATAAATTATTTACTCTGCTCTTTACTAAGAGCTTCACATGTTATTTTATCTTTACAGTGAGGTTAGTGATACTCTATAAGCAGCTCATGTTTTTCCCTGAATATTGTGGTTTAAAAAATCATATAATCCTATATACATAATCATTGCAAATATACCTAAGATCTAGACATTGACTTCTTCCCTCTCTTTCATCAGAATTATTAATACGTACTTATTTATTATTTCAGCAGAGTGTTTTGCTGCAATTGGGAGGAAAAACAAACAGGAACCAGTAGAGGTTATTGCAGGTAATTATTAATTACATAGCTAATCATTATTATGTCCTATAGTTAATTATAAAAAGTAATTAAGAAACACAAATTCAAAACACTTTCTAGAAAGCCATTCAAATTCAAAGAATTTTCAAAGTCTTAAAATTTTAGATTCATGGACAATAGTTCTGACATTTACAGCCAAAACAACATAGTTGCAGCAAATTTCTATGCACAGGTTACAATTTTTCATTCCCAAGGGAAAACAAAACACAGATCCTAGAGCCAATCAACTGATAAACTAGATTGTTGGTAGCCTGATAGAGATGAGATTGCTGTAGCTCCCTGTTTTTAATCTATGATTTAGAAGCAAAGTGAGGTCAAGTGGTGTTCCCATGAGCAGCACACACAGATGCAACACATACACACAACAGGTGACACACAGACAGAAACATTCAGCACTCAAACACAAATGACATGAACAGCTTTATCTTTCTCTTGCTAACCAGGAGGAAGGATGATTTGTAACTGGAAGTATAAGCACATACTCAACTTGCCTTAGACATTTGGTCTATCCAGTAGCCAGCACCTGGATCCTCAGACCTCACACTTGGTGCCATCCAGACACACAACTCTGTGGCCTGCAGCTCCCCTCCAGCTGCTGGTACAGAACCATTTTTAATCCTGGACATATTCACACATCCCTACTCACCCCAACACACTAATGATCCCCCCAGGGTCTTACAAACTGAGCATATCTAGTAATGGTACCTGAACCCCTTGGACCTCCAGTGCCCAATGACATGCCCACATACTTATGAGCTCCTAGTAGCTTGAGCAATCAGGCTATCCAGGTTATCAAGTTATTCAGGCTTCTGGCTCCCTGGTCTCCCCTTGCCTCACACACAGACATATGACTGCAAATAGGGCTCTCATTCAACCCACAGACCATACAGTTGCTCCAGACTGGTCTGAACCTCTTGGCCCCTCCAACAGCTAACTCATGAGCCCTCTGAACCCATATCTGGCCTGTGGTCACATGGATACCCCATACCCAAGCCATTCATCCAACTCACTGGCTATTCCATCCTGAGACTCTGTAGTGATCCCACACTGGCATATACACCCATGCAAATATGGACACAACCTGCATTTTCCACTTCACTGTCACCAGAGACACACAGACCCTTCTGACTCATGGTCCATCTCCAGATGCTGGCAAACAAACCTCTATGCACACATGCATACAAGAAACAGAGACCTTTTACTCAAGAAAATAGAAATGGAGCATAATAAAACAGAGGACAGGCTGTGCTGATGAAGGACAGGACATGACTAGACAACAGTGCTGAACACAGCCTATTTGCATGATTGGACCCTTTTATCCTCTTACCACTCTATTTTCCCTTGATTTTCCCTCCCTAATCCACCTCAATCCCTCCCTATTTCTGCCTATGGCACTTCCTCTAAATATCCAAGGCTAAATCCACACAATCCAAGGAAGCTCTTCCCTGCATCCCATAATATGTTCTATAGCCCCATCAGCAATAGCTCTCTCAGCCTGAAGGATGATCAGGGCAGCACCTCCTTTTGACTACATGTGATAGGTTTCAGCCCTGACCCATGGGACTGAGGCTCTCCTGGGACAGCCCATAGAGGAGCCCAGGCTTGAGTCTGACTAGGACAGGGGGGTTACACCCCCTGCACTGCACCTCTGTCCCACTTTGGGTGTGTGGAGAAAAGCCTTTTACCAGATAAGTTAACAAAAATGTTCTTCTGCCAAGAAGTTTGTAATTTGGTGCTGGCCTTTTATTATATTTTAAATATATGAGCTCTAGAATCTTATTTAAAGTATTCTTAACTAAGCTTCTAAAAATCCGTAACTCTAAAGTCTTCAGATAGTAAGTTGTTTAAAACCACATATAGGTAGCACTAAGCTAGAAGTAGATGACTTCTTAAGCTGAGTATTCACACTAGAGATAAAAAGCTAATATCTGCTTCTGATAGCTCCAAGAATCTTTACTGACTGCCACACAAGACTCTTAAGCTTCACAAACATTACTTTCAGTCATGAATGTTGGGACCTTTCACTTTCCCTTTTTCCCTCTTCTGGTCCTTCTTTGTTGCGAAGGATGTTTGTGCATGTCAATGCAAATTCACCAGATAAAATATAATTCAGATGGAATTGAGCAATTGAGGTATTAGGAAAAAATAGGTCACAGAAATGCTCACAAATTCAAAAGAGTGATGTGTTTAGAAAATGAGTCTTAAATCAAAGTGATATTTCATAGTGAAAAACTATTCTTCAAGACTTTCCCATCATTTCCAATATTTTACTTTTTCCCATTATACCATGCCAAATTAAATTAACTGCTATCCCACAATTATAAAAAGACAAGTTATCAAACCAAAAGCCTTCTCCAGTTTTATTTTCACTGTTTCACCGTCCACTTACCTCATTTTGCCATTTTCATACACTAAGGTATCAGAATAATTTTCATATGCTAGACAAATATTAAAAAGACTTTAAGTTCATACAGTGTTATTGAATCCCTGTCAAAGCCTAAGGCTTGAGGAGTGAAAATACACTCACATCTGCTTGTCTTATACAAACAGTGGTATAACAATATTATTTCTTTTGTGGCATTGTGGTACAGACTTAATACTGAGAACACGCATTATGACTCTTCACTGACTGAACAGCAGCTCCAGACTACAAGTTCCACACCATTACAAATATAAAAAATGCAGGTCATTGCCTCAGAGTGCCAAAACAGATGTAGAAATACAAACCAAGGTTGTATTTCTAAGAAAACAAGGGCAGAGGGAGCTTGGGGACTATACCACTGATTTTCCATAATTCTTAGTTTTCAACACATACCCCAGAGCGGTTTTAGCCCTTGCCATGCAGTACTGTGCCAGAGTGTACTCACACATGGCTGGGTAAGAGGTGTGTCAGCAGTTTTTCTCAAAACACTGTATGTACAAACAGGCCTGCATCAGGCTTGTCTCCCAGCACCTTATGTAGCCTTCCGACATGTTCCTGTCAGGCTTTGCACTCTTAGGCCTTTCTAACATGAGCTCATAAATTTGTAGAACATTTTAGGCTGAGAGAAACCTACATCGGTGAATCATGGAGTTTAGTCTCCTAATCAGAGCAGGACTAACCTCAAAGCTGGCTGAGATGGCACAGACTCAATTCTCTTGTAATGAAGCAAGGGTGAACCTCCAAGTACCATAGAGATTAATGGACACAAGCAAAGAAACTTACATGCAAAAACATTAAAATGAAAACTATTTACACCATACTCACACTTCATTTCAGCACATTTAAAAAATCATTATTATTCCCTACAGTTAATTAGGGAAGAATGCACTGTTAAGTGTATTTCATTTTCCCCTCTGAGTATTAAAGCTTTGATATAGATAGGGAAAGCAGTTACAAAATTCAGATGAAAAAACATACTTTCTTAAATTATATTTCCTCATTATTAAGGACTGTAAATGCAGAATAAAAATACATAATCATATTAATATCTAGGATAATTCTCTTCATAAAATCCAAAACTAGCAACAACACCCATCCCCAAAAGAGATTTCTTCTCTTTAAAGAAATCAATTTGGATATATTATACATAACTTACATTTTGTGGAAAAGAGGAAAGGGTGATGCAGGGAGTTTCAGCATAAATATTTTAGTTCATTCTACTTCTTGAATCATAGAATAAATTTTCAGTTAAATGGCAATACTGTAGTTTTATAAATACAAGTATTATATTAATTTATTGTGGTATATGTGTTGAAGCACACATTCAACAATCCTCCCAAGCCTATCCTTCAGGCAAAACAAAGCATTTAAAATCACAATTTATTAGGCATACTTGAGTCACTTCCTAAACAGAGGCTTGAAAAGATGAAAGAGTGCTATTCCAGTCTGGCTGAATGGCTTACATCATGACATGATGCAGAATTAATTTTGTACACAGCAGGCTCATTTTAGTAGTCAGCAAAACACAGCAACTTCTAAATTTCATAGTGGCAAAGCAAGAAGCGGGATATAAAAGGAATAAAAAAAATTTTTTAAAAAAATAAATCCCACACACCTGCATTTTGTTCATTAGATTTCACCTACCAGACTTAATTAACTGCAACATATTACTCAAATCCCACTGAAAAAAATATAAAATACCCACCTGTTTTGGGGTCAACAGAGAAATATGGCTGTCCCTGAAGAATACTGTACACCACTCTGGCACTGTTTCCATATGTGGGGTCATCTGCATCTGTGGCTGTCACCTGTAGAACAGATGTACCTGTACATACAGGAAAATAAAATAAATTGGTAATAAATATAACTTGGTGATAAATATAAATATTTTTGAATGCATTTTTGAAACCCTACAGTTCTCACATTCTCCAGTTGAAGGATTAATAACATTATCTCTATAAGTTATTATTTTATCAGATTTTTAAGGCAAACTGATTATATTATTTTGAAAAAAGCTTTTTGTCATCATTTCTGTGTAAATTATTTACATACTTATAAATAGCAAGTATATAGCAAGCATATTTATCCATGTTCACATACACAGACCCCAAACTTGGATATTCTGAATGACTTGACTTTATGGACTTTGGGATTATCTTCATCCACAATACAATTTAATGTTGAAGTGCACATTTAAAAGAACTTGCATAAATGCCCTCATACTAATAAAAGATGCTAAGGGAATAAAAATTCTAGCTATTGGAAGGCATTAAAGATCTCAAAATGAAATAACTACTTGAACCTTGTCGGAATTCCAATGGTGGATTCAGCTTAGAGAGATAAGGAGTTCAAAAGAAAATTATTTTTATGCTAGTAATAAAAAACATTAGAAAAATAAAAGCACAGTTTCTAGCATGTCAATAAGTGGGATAAGTTATGAGCAACACTTCTTAGAAAATAAAATGCAAAAGTACTGCACAAATAGAATGGAGACAAGTGATTTTACATTTTACTGTATTTTACAAGACACTTAATGATAAATCTCTTTTTTGCTATCACTGCCAAACACTTTACATAAGAAATCAATAAATGAAAGACTGTAAGTTAATAAAGGTTCAGCCTTCATTCCACTTGTTTATCCTTCTACAGGCACAGCTTTCTACAGGCTCCTTTGCCTCAGCATTGAAATACCAGGATACTAATAACAGAGGAGGCTGCTCTCATGTAACTCTGCATCTGAAAGTGGCTTCTCAGCTAAATTAACGACTGAGGCGTCGCCTCCACTCTGGGGTGTTCAATTTCACATCTCAGTTGTGAGAAGAAATATGTTTTTGAATTGAAGCCCTTGATCTTCTCCACTTGTACTTTGATTTGCCGTGTGAAACAGTTTCAGAGCATGCTAACTAGACTTCTTTGCATGAAACTAAACCAGGCGATGTGCTTTAGCAGCACATCTGATTTATTCTGTCTGCTAATAGGCATGTAGTCTCAGAGGCCAGACAAGAGCTAATCTGAAATAAGATTTCCCAAAAATGAATGACGTGAACACTGGCTGCTCAGTTCCAAATGTTTAGCCTCCTAAATCAGTTTCCATTGCACAGAACTGTTTGCTAATGTGCAAACTCTCTCTGCACACTGGGAATAGAAGTACCTAAAACCACAGAGTTTCACTTCAGGTCCCGCAAAGCATGCACATCTTCACAGATTTGGTTTCTATTCATTCATTTGTGCCATGCTAACTTGGAGACCAAGAGTTGCTATTTTTATCTCTACAGGAGATTTAGTCAAATGTATGGCAAACATGCCTGCATGCGTAAACAGAGTGTCATATGGCCTTTGAAAAGCTCAAATGCATACAGCCTTATAGATAAATATAGTCACAAAGTAGATATAAGGATACCTTGATGAATTTGAATACTGTAATAAAATCAAGCTGGAGTTAGTTGTCTGTTCATAGCTATGCAGCCATTAATATCAAAACTGACTAAATTACTGTATTTGTGTTTACGTGGAAAGATAAACAAATGAATTAAAATTTGTAACTTTTTTTCTTAAAATGTTCTAAGAATCTATTCAGCTATATTTATTTGCTGTCTAAACTTAGAACAAGCGTTCCTGCAAACTACATCAGGTTACTTCAAAGAACAGACCATACATTTTCCCCTCTATTCCATAACTTAGTGAAATACTGTAATGCCAATAGCTTCTAACTTGAGGGGAATTTCTATGTTTCAGCCTTGTGGAATCATTAAAGGTTACTGATAGAAAATTTTATTTTATTTTTTAGTTGCATACAACAAAAACTTATCCATTTAATAGGTATAGTCAGTCACCAAACAGAGTCTGCTATCCAGAATGCTGGGCAACTTCTGTATCTTTTTAGCTATAGATTTTCCTGTTTCAGGAAAACAGTTACCAACAGGGTGAGTTCCCATTAGCACTTTTTCCCAGAATTCTAGAAAATCAACATAAGTTTTGAAATGGATGAACAGATTTCTGGCTATTTCAGAAGAAAATGCTAGAAATACTGAGATTTCATGGTTCTCATTCTTTGGAAACTTTTTTCTCTCACCTACTTATTATAAAAGGTAGGGGATAGAATCTGAGTACTTGTATTGCTCATTGATGTGGGACAAAAGAAACAGGACTTGAGAAAGCGATATCTCACATAAGCAGCTGACAGGTCATTTTAGCATGAATGAAATGCCATTGTACCTTAAAATTTGCCACAGTGATTTTCTAATACATTATTATCTCTCTCCCAAGAAAAAACTGATAATAGTAATTTAATATTGAATACTGGCAAAGTGCTCTCTTTCTACCTATAAGAATCACAAATTAAAACTCAACCCTCACCCCAACTCTCAAACCCGCATTTAATGGAATGTAGCACATCAGCTGCCTAACTTTTTCTCTATATTACACAAACATGTTTAGCATTTTATAAAACAGTCCCATACTGGTCTTTTGCCTAACTCTTGCCTGATTTGCTGAGCACCAAGGAAAGGCAGCTTGTGAAAGCTGCAGGTTAGAATGCCTTGCAAGAAAAAAAGAGGGTATCTTTAGCTTCTAACTACTGTTTTCAAAGTTAGGATCATTCAGCTCATCATCATGACAGAAAACCCATGATTCCAGATACATTTGTATCATTCAGATGCAGCATCATTTTTTTTTTTTTTTTGTTGAGCTATGTGTAATGAAGGATTTAAATAGAGAAGTATACAGTTCAGCTGCTTTGCTGTTCTTGATGCTAACAATTCTGAAGAAAATAATCTAATACAAGAGGTAAGGGTCTAATTTCCCTGGAGACCTCAGGAGAGCTATGAACATCAGACCCAGAGACCTTCTATTCTTTCTTCACTTACTTCCTGCGAGAGTGCCTGTCAAAAAAACCTGAAAACTTTGCTATGAAAGCATATTAGCACTGTAGTTAGGCAATAAAAAGGACTTTTTCCCCCAAAGTGGACTCTCTGCTTATTCAGAGTACAACTACCATTCCACATGGTTTCCCACTATGTTTTAGAGATTAGATATGGAGAATTCTATTTTCTTAGCTAATGCTTTATACAGTTGTAAAACATGTCTGTATGCTTTGAACACCACTCTGTAAGCCTTGCCTTTTTTGTTATAAAAAATAAGGATCATTTAATTTGGGAAAGCAAATTGTAGTTTTATTTTGAAATATCATTCTTTTGTTTTCTCTTTTTTAAAATATGTTTGCGATCAAAATTTTTTAACATATATCAAAGAAAAGTTGAAATACTTCAATTTGTCTCTCTGAAGACAAATTTTTAAAGTTTAATGAGGCAGTTCAATAAAACATATCTGTTGAGAAGGCAACTGTATGCACGACTTTCCATAATTTGCTGCACTGCTAAAATCTCAAATGGACCAATACTGAACAAAAATTAAAAGAAGTGAAAAGAAGGTGGGGTTTAATGAACCCAGGAATTTCCTGCCTAACTAAACTAATTCTTAGTACTGTCTTAAAACATCAACAGGTCAACAGAATGTGATTTAGTGTCACAACACAGGAAGTCAAATAGGCATTTCTCATAATAATCATATAATAATCTTTTACTGATAGAAAAATGTTCTTATTTCCTTGTAATTCACATAAAAATGGCTTTCATAAAACTTAAAACAGACCACAGAGTTCTCAATGAAACTGAGTTTTATACACTGTGGAATAAATAATTTCAGATATAAAGCTTGGTTCTTGAGCCAACTTTTAGGGAAAATGTTCAATGAAATCAAGGAATAGGTGTTTTCTTTCAGCTCTTTAAGCATAGTACATAATGTTCACTTTGTGCCACAGTCAACACTGTGATCTAATATTCCGCAAAAATTTTAACAAAACTTACCTACACTTTCTTGTCAGTGACCTAAAAAAAGAAAAGCCATAAAGGTCCTACAGCTTTCGCAACTAGATTAAGAAAAGTTCAAATAGCGGGAAAAATAGTGACTAACATATTGAGGAGACAAATAGGAACCTGCTGCTGAAACTTAACAGCATAATGGAGGTCAAAAAAATCCACCACTCCACATGAGGACTGCTGCAAAGAAACAGCAACATTGAAAGTTCTTTAAATAATCATGTGAAAACCAGAAGAATTTTGTAAGGAAGTGAAACATCCTTAAAAATTCATAAAATAATAGAAAAAAATTCAGTTATTAATAGATTCCACAGCTAAACATCAAAAACGTGCTAATTTCAAAACTATCAACAGTGGCATAGGTATCTCCATGATTTGACAGAAAAAATGCAGAAGCAGTAATAACCTTAGTCTTCCTGAAACTGCAGACAATAAAATGCTTTCAGTACACAATGAACACAAACAAATCAGTAAGAGAAAAAAGAAAACAGTGATAATAAATTTGTAATGAAAATATAATGTATAATACAACAGATTGTCTCCATGATGGGGCATGAAAACTCAGTTTTATTTACACAACACAAAAGCTCTGAGGAATATATATTTCAGTTGTTTAGGTCAGGTACAACCAGTAAAGCATTTAATTTATAAAATATCTGCATTAATGCTTTATTTTATCACTAAAACTTCATTGGTTTATCATAATCCACTCTGTTTTATAACCCAAAATGCCATCCCAGACTAACTATTCAAATTTTTCTTTGGAAAATAGTAATTTGTATTATGTAGTAGTTGTACAGCAATACCAGATTCAGAGTACTGCAGAATTGTGACAAACATCCATTTTGAGAGGATGGAAAAAACCCCAAAACTTTTATAAATACAATGTAAATAAAAAATAATTATATCAGCTACTTTTGACTTTGAGGATCACATTGATTTTCTTTTCACCATCTTTCCTCCTATGCAGAAAAGAAAAGGCTTCCACAGGACAGGGAAATAATCAGCTAAAATGGTCTCTTTTAAAGACAAAGGAAAGTGAAGAAAGAAAAAGACAGTTATGCATTTTTGGAGAGAGTCGATAAAGGAAATGAATTTCTCATTAAGACAGTCTATGGTGTAGAGACAACTAAGATAAAAGCTAGATGATACTGAAATGAGCTGTAACTCTAATAGTAAAGCTTTGTGCCACAGCGAATTATCAAAGACAGCTGACGAGGGTTTGTACAGACTCACAATATTTTAATGGAAGCTGTATACCCTCATTGCACTAATTCACACAATGGTGTATTGCTTTAATAGTCTTGGAGTCATGACTGCCCTTCTGTTGGCTATTCCTCTATTAGAGGAAAGTTATAAACCAATTTCAACACCAGAGAAGTATTAAATAAAGCAAACTGATCGCATAATGCAGCACCTCAAAAAATAAGAATACCTGAGTTACACAATGGGGAAAACCAAAGATCATTACTTTCTTAAACTTTGGTTCACTTTGTAAGAAACTTAGTAAAGATAAATAAACATCCATCTAAAATAATCTAAGAAAGTACTATTCCTTTGCATTTGTTTAATTCTGTGAATTCCAAAGACTGCTCATGCAGACGTAAGAGAATGCCATAAAGTATGCAGCTGAATGAGGAGATATAAAAACATCTTGTTTCTAGAATGCAAAGTACCATAACAGGAATGTTAAAACACTTAAGATTAAGAATGACTCTCGTCTTACAGTCAGCATATGTGTGTGTGTACTGTTTACTTAATATCAGTGTCCCATGTTATATATGAAGTTGCATTACATGTCTTCTTTGCATCTCTTCTCAGCTGTAATATCTCTAACATATCATCAATTATACGATGATCTGTTACAACTTTGAGAAACAGTATGTGGCACTTTTACTTGTTAAAAATTGATTGAATAGAACAGTTCATTTCCTTACCCATTTCAGACATCTCTGGCACCGTAACAATGTATGGTCCATCTGTAAATTTTGGTGCATTGTCGTTGATATCCTGCACTTTGATAATAAATTCAGATTCAGGCTCCAGTGGCTTGTTTGTCCGTCTATCAATAGCTTGGGCATGAAGCACATAGTGTGTCTTCTGCTCACGATCTAGGCTTTTGGTTGAATGGATGTCCCCAGTTGTGTCATCAATAATAAATATAGTCCCTGCCCCTTCTCCGGTGAGAATGTATTTGACTGATCCATCACCTTTGTCAGAATTGGAATGCAGCTGTAGAAAAGAAACACACAAAATCACATAAAATTAATAATTAAATTGCATTAAAGGTTTTTGCACACAAGATATTAAAACCATAATATTACTGTTAGCACCCTTCTACTTGGTTCTCACCCTTCTCATCTCTTGCCAGAACTCTTCATGTGCTCTTTCTGGAAACCAAATAATTTTGTTCAAGGTCATTTCTACCCAGCATAGTTCACTTCTTAACATGGGATTTCTTAGGCTCTACATCCATTCTAGAAAACTCCCCAAAGCCAAGAATATTCTAGTAAATGGAGTGGCTTGTATTTTATTTTGGCTTGGGTTTAGTCCTTCTAGTAGTTATTCTACAGCATTCATTGTTAGAAACCCTGATTTTAGCACTGAGCAGGACAGAGTTGTACCAAGGATTGTTTGCTTCAATGGTGGTGGTTCAGTTGCAGTACCTACAATATCTTTTGTGGACAACATCATTTACTCAAGGAAACTGCATAGAATGCCAGTGGCAGATGTCCATCCAGGGTTATTCGGTCCCATAACAAAGCACAACCATATTCTTTGGATTTTGTTTGTTTATTTTTAATTAGAAAATAATCTAATTTGCTTGTATTTGAATTATTTATAATTAAATAATGAAGTTTGGATGATACTTCCACCATTTTCATTGTTCATAACATACACTTTGTGCTATGAAATATACATTAAATATATTATACCCCTTCTTGAGTAGAATTAAGCTTATAATTAATGGGGGGGCAGGGAAGGGAAGGAAAAGCCACTAAGTACCCTGGTGTATGAAGAGATAACATGAAACAGCTACCCATTAAGTCTCACTGCTGCTAACCTGACTAATTTAAAGAACTGCTTGTTTGGATTAAAAACAAACATGTGTTCTATGAGAAGGAGGGATGATTTTTCTATCAACTGAGATGGCTCATGTTAGCTTTTTTCCTTTGAAACAACTTTCAGAACAGAACGTATTTATTGAGGAGCACAATGAGAACAAAGTGATAATGCAGAAATGAACAGCCTCAGGTATTTTGCAGTTACATTGTGATGTTAAAACACAAGAGAAACTTCATAATTTTAAGAAACATACTTATTCTTATCCTTATCCTACTGCTCTGACTATTTCTGAATACCTGCAATGTGGCATTACTAAGATGTGGCATTATACAGAACTTGAGCAAAACAGACGCAGAATGACAGATATTTTTAATTAGTGGAATCTGAGGTGTTAGTTTCCAGACTCCTTTTCATTTGCAGTTCAAAAACCATTCAGGCTTGGATAGAGAGAAAATAAGACTTGGAAGGTAGAAATCATCTTTTTTTCTGACTTAAAACATAAGACAAGGGGGTGCTGCTATTTTCTCACACTCTCCTTGTACCTTTTCTTCCAGGTCTTTGTCTTGCCTTTAAAACTATTTACTTTGCTATTTGTAAAGGAGCAAGCACACAGTGCTTTATGACACTTTTTATCTTGTGTATTAAACCCATGAAATTATGGTGTTGCACAATATTTATGTCTTGTATTGTAGGGAGGCCTGGGAAGGCGAAACCTAATAAATTTAAGATTGTCAGCTCATATAAATTTCAGTATAACTTCTGTAAATGCACCATATACTTATCTGAGCCACAAGATCTGAGTGAATAACCAAAACAAAACTGGGTCACCACTGTGGACACTTTTTTCTTTTTTTTTTTTTTTTTTTTGGTTTTGAAAATGGAAGAAAGAAAGAAGAAGAGAAAGGGTCTGTTTGTGTTTGCCTTTATGGGACAGCAGGACAGTCTTACACATTTCATTTATAGTAGTCATTGGCAAAATTGATCGCTTCTTATCCTCAGAATAACACTGTATTCTATCAACAAACGAGTAATTCATTCAGTGCAAAATGCCAGGGATCCAAGATTCCTATAAAGTCAAAATGTTCTTTGAAGCCATTTTTTTCCTAATAAAAAAGACTAGTAGGTATTCTGGTGTACTAACCTAGGTTTGCTGGTATTCTAATTTTTCAGAAACAGTCAGTACTGCTTTCTCTTCCCATAAGTTCCTTTAGTACTAAAATGAGTCCTAAGTGCTAGTGCAGGAATGACAGATTTGCTGTTTATGACACTCTAAGAAGCTGAAAACTATTTCAAATTGAAAAGATAGAAGAATCTCCATCCTACTTCTCTCTTTTTACCTCTACAGGTATATACGTAAAAGCATATTCAGGTATACCATAGAGAGATCCCACCAAAAATCACTGCATTCATAACTGGAATTATGAAGTATGAATCAGTTAAATTACCCAACAAGTTATATGCTAATCCTTCTAAACATCATGTTACCCAACAAACTTCTACTAAAAAATGCAGGCAGGAGTATCATTAGAAAAAAATTATCTCGATATTAGTAATCACCAAAAGCCTTCAATTTACAACTGTGTCTTTTACAGTGCATTTGTAAGGCAACAACTGCAAACAAGAAAAAGCTTAGATAAGTTCCTGCTTCCCTACTTCATGTTATTTTTTATATTGTTTGAAATAGAACACTTTGATTTATGCCTTTAAATTTCAAAGGCTGAGTTTATATTCATATAGGAGGGTTTTGCATAGCAAAAGAGCTTTGCCTTTGTCAGTTGGTTTACATTTCAGGTTTTTTGTAAGGACTAAAGAACTGTTTGTCTTCTTTAATACTTCCATTTTAGTACAAATTGGTCCAAGCAGAAAAATATCAAGGCTTCTCTCAAATGTTTATTTGCAATATGTGTTGTGCTGAAGAGAACCCCTGGGAATCCCTGCTTAAGACAATGCCTACCAGACTAATGAGCAATTCATGACCCTGAGCATGGAGCATTTCTCTCTTTTCCCTCCATACTATGAAATCATCTCCACAACAAGTGGTTTGTTCCACAAAAGCATTTCTAATTAAAATAAATGCTATTCACCACTTAGATTACAAACAATTAAAATAAATGCTATTCACCACTTAGGTTACAAACATGTGATTTGGGAGAGTGTATTTCTGCATCTATGTTTATAATAATTTATAAAAGATATCAAGGGAGCAAAATCTAGCTAGACAATAGTGGACTTTCTTTCTCCTTAGGACTGCTATAACTATTTCTTTTTCAGATTAATCTGACAGAGAGGAGGATGCCACTAAGTAATGCAGATGCAAGCCAACCCATCTTTTGTTCACCAGTTCAGACATAACTTGTGTGACCTGGGGAAGTCATCCCAAACCAGATCCCTAGAAAGGCTGTGGCCATTTCATTTCTGTGAGATGCCACCAGTTCTGCCAATGATTACCGCAAGAACATGTATACACTGGAGGATGAGATGAGATGCCACCAGTTCTGCCAATGATTACTGCAAGAACATGTATAGACTGGAGGATGAGATACTCAGACACTGTAGTAATGTGAATCAATAGCTTAGATAAACACAAAATTTGGTGTTACTTTTTCCTATGCTCTGTCAGTAAGATAGAACATTGCATGAGTCTCTTATTTCAAAAAGAAATACAAACGCACTGCAAACTGAATCATGATTACTCATAATGTTGAGATGCGTAATTAACATTGAAAAGAGATTCAAGGGAAATATGCCAAACATTAGAACACAGTTCTCTGATATCTGTATGAGAGGTTTTAACTACGATTATGAAAACACTACTGAAAATGTCTTTCAGTAGATCTTAGTTTCTGTGATAGTCTGGTGATTATATATTGATCTGTGCTATTAACTGTTCAACTGTTACTTTAAGAAGCTTTTTTCACCCTTCTTAAATTGTTCCAACTTGCTTCCCTAAGCAATTTCACATTAGACCCTAAACACTATTTTAAAAATGCCTTTGCAGACCAATACTTTGCCTAGCTATCCACTAGAGACTAATGCAGCTTGCACTTACCACTTAGTGATCCCTAGCCTCCTAGGGCTTTCCCAACCCTCCTCACGGCTCAGGACCTCATTGTAGCCTCCCAGGGACATTAGTCCTGCAGCAGGGCTGATCTCCAGCTCCCCACAGCCCTGCCCTGCCCAGTCTCAGCCTGACTCCATCTCCAGAGAGGTGCCCAGTGCCTGGGGTTGGGGCTGGGGCTGCCCCAGTGCCCCTGACTTTGCTGCTCCTAGCTGGCCCAGTCACGACCCGCCTGGGGGAGTCTGCAGTGCACCGGCCACAGGCAGACTCCTGACTCTGCTGATCCCTGACAGCAATGTCTCCAATCCCCCAACTTGCTGTCAGTGCATGCTTCTGAATTCCTTGTGGAGATGTGGTTCCTATCCTAAGTGATGGCCGGGCTTCTGCAAACATTACTGGCAATTTGGTTATGCTTCTATCAAGAACATATCTATTAAATATTCTGAATCTGTCCACAACCAGAAGCTGCCAGAAAGTATTTAATTTTCATGTCCTGTTGGGCATTATTCCTGCCTCTATTTCTCTGAATTATTTTAGAGAAAGAAGAAACTGAAAATAATAGCTGATGAGAATATCTGGACTGTCACCTTTATCAACCCAGTGGGCTCCACTTCTTGACATATTTAATAACAAGTTGTATTCAGGATGGTTTATGATGGTTCCTCAATTTTTAACTAGCCTATATCAGCACTATATGACTGATTTTGTATTTAATAACAAGTTGTATTCAGGATGATTTATGATGGTTCCTCAATCTTTAACTAGCCTATATCAGCTCTATATGACTGATTTTTCAGAATAGTAACCAAGGTGTCCTGTTTTGCTAAGACTTCAACGTTTTTCTTCCATCAGTCCACTTAAATGCTTAATTTTCTTTTAGTATTCCTGCAGAAGCTGCAGAACAGCTATGTTAATGAAAGGCATGATCTGAAGAGGTATACCAGACGTTTCAGTCAATGAGTTTTCTTTATATTCTTATATTAATTTTGATACTATGAACCTTGAAATACTTACTTTTTAATGCACCAGCATATTAACTGCAGTGAACACAACACAGAGATTGAAGGCTAATTGCCCAGCTACTACAGTGTTTTACTACTAGTAACTGCAAAGCGATCAGGTGGCTAAAGCAGAATCACAAATATCAGGTGGCTACTGCTTAGTTACTGGTCTTACTCACAACCCTTCAACTTCATACATCTTCATTGTTTTAGCTAATGCTTAGCTACTTCGTACACCCAAACATGTAAACATACATACTTGTCAAGCAATTGTGACCACTCAAGACCTCTGAAAC